TTTTTTTTTTTTTTTTTTTTTTTTTTGAGACAGGGTCTCACTGCATAGCTCAGCCCGGCCTTGAACTCACTATGTAGCCCAGGCTGGCTTTAAACCCATGGCAACCCTCTTGCCTTGGCCTCCCAAATGCTAGGATTATAGGAATGTGTCACCAGGCCTGGCTATGTTAATGTATATTTTTAAAAACAGAAGAAAGTAACCAGGAGCATGGAGTTTGGGACATAGCTTCTAGGGCGGAGGGTAACTTTAATCAATTTGGGTCAACAGAGATCTAGCAAGGAGTGAAAAGGATGAATCATGATCCCTTGAGAAGAATGAACGACAGGAAGTGTTAGAAAAACAAGGTAGAGAGCACCTTGTGTTTCATCAACCCAAGGCAAAGGTGGCTGTGAAAGCCACAATCAACAACAGGGGTTCTGAAGAAAGAGATAAGATCACGGGCTGCAAAGGGGAAGGGAATGACACCTGTAGAAAACCAGGCTGGGGGCAGCTGGTAGCTAACAATCCAACTCCCTAAATGAATCAAAAGGGAGTGATGGGATGATAACAAAACTATATCCTCACAGGTACAGGTCCCCATATAAATACAGAAGGAAAACACAAAAGGACTCTGCAGTTCTTCTCAGTGAATCTTTATTTTTAGCGTGGAAAGGAGGGATGGGCTGTGATCCACTGTGTGCAGGGGAGCATACGAATCTCTCACCTGTAACGTCCTCCTTCTTTCCTAGAAGCCAAAACTCATCCACCACTGCCAGCACCTCAATGACATCGCCCACAGAGAGTGGCAGTTCTTCTGACACACTGGGGCAAAAGTCGAAGATGGCTCGAACCACCGAGCCAGTCTCCATGGCTCACCTCTACAAGAGATCAAAAGAGAAAGCTTCAATATTTAAAATCTAACAAATCTATTCCTCAAGAATGATAAGCTTAAAATTAAAAGATATTTAAAATGAAATCAAAGCCAAGCCAATTCGTACTTTGTAATTTTTTTTTACAAATCAAGGTACTTTTTCATTTACTTCTTTGAAATATTAATTTCCTCACATATTTTCATTTGATTTTCAAATATTTCAGAAGTTGAAAGGAAAATAAAAACATGACCTTTACCTCTGAGTGACAAAAAAAAGATCCAAGTCTGTAAATGTAGGCTTCCCAGAGTGCCTGAAGAGGGCAATAAGGAATTTAACATTTTTAAAAAGTACCAGACAATATATACACTTCAAATATAGCATTTAAAATATTATGTTATATTTTACTATGTCAGATATTTCCCATAAGCAAGTTAAAGATTAGGGTCAAAGTTCAGCAAGGTTAGAAAATCTAATTTGGGGCTGGGGATTTAGCTCACTGGTTCCAGCACCTGCCTTGCAAGCAAAAGGGCCCAAGTTCAATCCCTGGTACAAAAAAAAAAAGAAAAAAAATCTAGTTTGTCCATTTTACAGATCTCATAGCAGCAGGGCCAGGACTCACAATGAGAGCACTCTGGCTTCTACCTCTGGTGATCGTACCTACAAAAAAAAAAGTAATGCAACCTGATGAATAGCAATAGGACCATGCCTCATAGGACAAGATTCAAAATGTACTGAAAGGATGGTGTGGTGACACACGCCTGTAATCACAGTACTTGAAAGGCTGAGGCAGGAGGATCGCTGTGAGTTTGGGTCCAGCCTGGGCTACAAAGTGAGTTCAAGGCCAACCTGACCTACAGAGTGAGACCCTGTCTCAAGAAGACCAAAAAAAAAGCACTGAAAAGTAACAAGAATAGCTGTGTAGATGGAGCCTCCAGATGACTATTTAGTACATTATACCAGATGGAGCACATGTTTCTTGTATAATGAAGCCCATGGCCCAACACTGGAGTGGCCTTATACAGTTTTGGGTCTGTGGAGCAGTGGCATAATGTGCCCATCACCGTGACACATGCACCCAAAAAGTCTAAGGATGTATTTAACCACCAGAAAACAAGGACTTGCACAGCCTGTAGCATGTACATGTCCACCTTAGGAACACCTGGCCATGATCAGAACTGTGCTCTCAAGTCCTTTCTATGGAGCAGCTGAAGACCTCCTGACTGACCAGGCCCAATGAGTGTTTTTCTTCATTCACCTCATTTGATGTTTGTGGAGATGAGGATTCTAGCATTCATCTCTCATACAACTATAATCACATCAAAAGTCACTAGGTGTTTAATGACAAAAAAGATGGCTGTAGCTCTGTTAAGCTTATAACCTAAGAAAACACGGATGTGGAACCAGGTGTGGTGACACACACCTGTAATCCTAGTACTTGGGAGGCTGAAGCAGGATGAATGCCCCAGATTTGGGGCCAGCCTGGGTTACACACCGAGTTCAAGCCCAGTTTGAAATACAAAGCTAGACGCTGTAAAAACAACAAAAAAACGCTGATGTGGAAAATATATTTAGGTATCTAATAAAAAGTTTGGTAGGGAAATAGGCATTACCTAGAAGATTTTAATGAATTAAGAAACAAACAGTATATAATTAATTTTTACTGTTAAGTAAAAGTAGCTTATTTTTTTTTCTTCGTACTTGGGATTGAACTTGGTTCCTTGTGCTTGCGAGGCAGGCGGTGGAACCACTGATCTAAATCCCCAGTCAAAAGTAGCTTATTTTTGTACTATTATTGGAATATTTTTTTCTGTAATGAAACAACTTGGGGCCACAGTAGAAAAGAGAAGTGGCTAGTAACAATTTCCACATCCTCTGTCCTTTCTTGTCACAGTTTTGTTTTCTTCTTTCTTCTCTGTCTCTTTCTGTCTCTTTTTTCTCACTGGTGCTAGGGATCAAAATCAGTGCCTCTAGGCCTCTGGGCAAGTGCTCTACCACAGAGCTAAAACCCAGCCCACAGATTTAATTCAAGTCTCAAAAACATCTAATTATAACTACACACCAAGGAGGCAGAATAATGGGAATGTAAAGCATTAGGCTTTTGCAGTCAGAAAAACGAAAGTTCATCTTTAATAAATGGTGTTGGAAAAACTGGATCTCAACCTGCAAAAGATTAAAACTAGACCCTTATCTGTCACCATACACTAAATTAAAATCCAAGTGGATTAAAGATCTAAATATAAAAACAAAAACACTAAACTTGCTGGAAGATAAGTTAGGCAGAACTCTGGAAGACATTGGCATAGGAAAAGACTTTATGAACAAATCCTCAGTAGCACGGGAACTAGCAGAAAGAATCAACAACTGGGATCTCATCTTATTAAAAAGCTTCTGCACTGCAAAAGAAACCATCAACAGAACTAAGAGACAACCTACAACGTGGGAAAAACTTTTTACCAACTGCTCCTCAGACAAAGGACTATTATCTAAAATATATAAAGAACTCAAAACAATCACCCCCCCAAATATAAAGACCCAATTCTAAAATGGGCATCTGAAATGAACAGACATTTCTCAGACAAAGAAATAAAAGCAGCAAGCAAATATATGAAAAAATGCTCCACATCACTGGACATTCAAGAGTTGCAGATGAAAGAACACTGAGATTTCACCTACCCCACAAAGAATGGCTGCTATCAAGAAATCAACCAATAATGAATGTTGGCGGGGTTGTGGGGAAAAAGGAACCCTTCTCCATTGTTGGTGGGAGTTCAGACTGATGCAACCACTGTGGAAATCAACATGGAGATACCTCAAAGAGCTTGGATTAGAGGTTCCATTTGACCCAGCCATCCCTCTGCTGAATATCTTTCCAAAAGAATTAAAAGAATCATACCACAGTGATATATGCAAACCCATGTTTATAGCGGCACAGTGTGTAATCGCTAAAACTTGGAAGCAGCCCATCTGCCCAAGAAGATGTGGTTTTTCTATAAAATGGAATACTACTCAACCATAAAGAATGAGAAAGTAGATTCATTCATAGGTAAATAGGTACATTTTGAGGATATACTCTTAAGTGAAACACACAAGTCACACATAAGCAAGTACTGCATAGTTTCTCTGGTGTGGAAAACTAAAATAATACTCAAGATCCTAATGGGACAATTAGCAATGTGAAATAGGAAGAAAAGGACCAAAGGTGTAGGGACAGTTAGAAGAGTAGGGAAAGGGGAATAAGGGAAAAGGAAAAAAATATGAGAAAATGTAAAAATGGAATTAAAGTGTTTGTAGGTGGGGAGGGGAAGAGCGGGTGAAGAAATTAAAAACAAAAACAACAACAACAACAAAAAACAAAAGTTCAAATCTCAGAAACATCATTTATCAGCTATTTGACACTCAAAATATTACTTATACTCTCTGGCTTCAATTTAAGAAATGGAAATAATATTTTCAAAATAATCACCAAGATGAAAACAATGATAAAAATAATTATAACAATGTCTAGACTGAGCGTGGTGGTGAGTACCTGTGATCCTAGCACTCAGCAACCTGAGGCAGGAGGATCACTATGAGTTCAAAGCCAGCCTAGGCTGCTTAGTGAGTTCAAGGCCAGCCTGAACTACACAGCGAGACCCTGTTAAAAAAAAAACCCAATGTCTAATATTTATCGAATATTCATTGTATACCATGCATGGTGCCATGCACTTCCCTCCCTGAGTCCTCGCAATGACCTTATCTTATATTATTGGCTGCTATTTGGTAGGTAAGGACAGGCTCAGAGCAGTGATATAATTGGCTCAAGGTCACATAAAAAGTCATAGTAGAATGTGACTACAAGTCTGTTTCCAAAGCCTTCACCAGTGCACCAACTGGATGAAAGCACCAGGGCAGAGATGGTATAGTAACTGCTCAACAGATACTACCAATTATTACAAACCATTTTCAAAACCATCTGTGTCACTGCTCACCACAGAATGTGCTATTTTAAGTATACAAACACTACAGAACTTCCCATTTCAACATGTCAAAACTTGGTTAATTTTGACCATGTTTAGAAATAGCTATATTTCCCCAGCTTCCTCCATAGAAATTACTAAATATAATTTACTCTTTGGTTATTAAGACCATCCATTGCCTGCCTGGCAAGCTCAATGTCCTGAGTTCAATCCCCAGTACAACAAAAACCCCCAAAACACCCTTACATTACTGTACTATGTAGTGTATAACCTTTGACCTTTTTCCCTTGATGTCAGCTTACCCTGATGAAAGTTGATTAAGACCCTCCATTACTGTATTGTGCTCTAACAATCCCAGTACTGTGTAACTTTTGCCCTTCTCTCTGGATGTCAACCATCCTATGCTCACAGTTTATCTCCTCCATCAACTTTTCCACATATACTTTCTGGGTTGCTGAAGACAATCTGCTGGGGAGGAAGGATCACACACCACCAAAATTATTAAAAGTTTCAAGATAAATAAAAGTAAACAAGCACTAAATGGCACACTGACACTCTTCTGTGGTAGTAAGGACATGTGTTTGTGCCAGTGTTTTTAAACAGCTATCTCTGATGTTCTCTGAGGCCCCTTTCTTATTTTCTGGCTGTCTTCCAAAGGACTGAAGTTGGTGTCAGAGTTCCACATAAGGGTAGCATCTAAACACATTCTAGAAAACCAAATATAAAGTGCAAACCTCTTAGCAATCTGTATGTCACTAAAACAACTCCTTGGGGATGGGTCAGCGTAGATATGATTTTCCTTCTTAAAATCTTTTTCTCAAATTACATCTCACTGTATATCTTATTATCTAAAATGTCAATAATTAGCATAAACTCCATTGATTACCTAGAGAGCTACCCAGTTAAACTTTAGTTTTTATGACTTGAAACAGTTAACACTTCTCCACCAGAACCTTTTTTTACTCTACTAGAAAGTGACTCAGAAGCAGACGAATCTGGCTCAATAAATACTTTCACTGACTGACCTCTTATTCTGTTGGAAGAAGTGTATAATCACAAGGAAACACACCCTAGCAGGGTATGAAGTCAGCCTCGATGAATTACATGATTCATGAGTGAGACCAGAGGGTAGGGCTTGATGTCCCTTTTTATTTATTTTATTTATTTTTATTTTTTGGATTTTTGAGACAGGGTCTCACTATGTAGTTGAGACTGACCTGAAACTCACTATGTAGCCCAGGCTGGTCTCAAACTCACAGCAATCCTCCTGCCTCAGCCTCCTGAGTGCTGCGGTTACAGGCGTGCACCACCACGCACAGCTGATGTACCCTGTTTTATGTATAACACGATGAATTTTATCTTAGTCTTTCCCATCCTGTGA